TGTTGCATGACTGCGCAATTGTCAGTTAAAGTAACGCAGCTCCGTGACGCAAACTCTTCTGCAACTGCTTCCTGACCACCCTATAGCAGAAATACTGCTACAGGGCGGCATGGATGTGCAAAATCACATATATATCTACACGATTTGCACTCCCGTGGTTTTCACGCCCCTCCCAGATAGCATCAGATTGCCCGTCAGTACACCAGTCATCACATTTAACCCCTTGATTGCCAGGAGCACGCTCACGTACAATAAACCTTCATTGCTAGTATAGTGTCTGAACGGGTCAATATCTTTGATCAGGTCAGCACTATACCACTATATCAGCGTTCACATTAGTATAGCGTCCCCAAAAACGCAGCGTTAGCGGGATCAGCCCCAACACCTGCCAGCACCTGCGTTTAGCCCCTACGCTTACCCCCCCCCCCTCTTCTCCCCCAGCAAGTGCAGTGTCAGTAGGTCACTGTCACTTGATACATTGCACACAAAACCGCAGTGTTCGCAGAATCAGGCCTGATCTCTGTTAGCCCTTGTCAGTAAATTTTGATGACTCTCATATGCAGCAGAGTGCCAGTACTAGTGCCGCTCTACCCTTTGGTGAACTGGAGAGTACCAGCGGTCTAGTACATCCTGGTCTTTCACATACCTCCTTGATTTTTGGAGCTGTTTTTCTCGTAATATCTGTATGCGTTGATTGTGGATCAAAGCAATTTATATGCACAACAATTTATCACTGCCAACCCAAATTCAAACCTTGCCAGACCATTCGCATGGAAACTCATTACAGTTTTCGAATTTACATTTTTTTTTTGGGCCTAACCCTCAACATGGGCATTACTGAAAAAAATTTAATTGCGGTTGTATTGGTCTGCAGACCCGATTCATCATATGCCGTGTTCTCTGCTGCCATGGCCAGGCATAGATATGAGCGTATAATGTGTTTTATGCATTTCAATGACAATACACTCTGTCATCTCCTCGGGGTAACCCGGAATTTGATCGGCTCCACAAAATTCAGCCCCTCGTAAATCACCTTATCCAAAAATTTGCAGATGTCTATACTCCCCAGCAAAACATCTGCTTTGATGAGTCCCTCATTAATTTTTCTGGCCGCCTTGCATTCAAACAATTTCTCCCCTGCAAGCGTGCCAGATATGGGGTCAAGATGTAGAAGACCTGTGAGAGGACAACAGGCTAAACTTATAAGTTTTGGATTTACGAGGGAAAATATAGTCACATGGAGCCCCCCGGATGCCCAGACTACATGGGGAGCAGTGGCAAGATAGTTTGGGACTTGGTGTCATCCTTTTTCCATATGGGGTACCACTTATACGTGGACAATTTTTATTCAAGCGTGCCACTATTTAGACATTTGTTCAATCTTGGAACTGGCGCATGTGACACTGTGCGACCTAATGTGTGCCCACCATTAGAAGTGGGTGGATGCAGGGCGGTATATTCTAATGGTGTGCATGCACACTTTTTCTGGCAGAGATTTCTTCTCATTTTTTTCATTCAGTGCACAGGCTGCATACAAAAAAAAAAGAAGAACATAGTATATATACCCAACAAGGACCAGCGACGTACTGGTACATCACTGTACTTTGAATGGTGATAATTTGCTGCAGGATTGCTTTTACAAGCAGCCGGAGATTATGCCCCCCTCCCCCACTGCCTTCCACGGCCTTCTCGTGCAACCTGAAGGGGAACCTGAGAATGCAGCCGGTGTTTCTGCCAGCTGACCATAGAGCTGATTGGAGACCAGAGTGGTGCCAATCATCTCTATAGCCTAAGAATTCGGAAGTTACAAGCATTTCATCACTTCAGTTTCGCAGGATATAAACAGCGCCATTTGTAAATTGGGAAAGCATCTGATCACACCGATCTTGGGGAGATTAGATAATGTAAGGGCAGAGGAGATATCTAGAGCCTGATAGACCCCAGATTTCTCAAAAAAGAATACATGACAATGCCCATTGAAGTTATAGGGGATATTTGCATTCCCTGTTATAGCATTAAAAGTGATCAAAAAAAAAAAAAAAATGAAAAAGGTACAAATGTAAAAATAATAAAAACGAATCAAAATAGAAAAAAAAAAAAAAAAATCACCCCTCCCATGTGTGCACACCTGTGTGCACAAGTGTCTACCCTGTACCAGTATGTAAACAGCGGTTGCACCATGCATGTGAGGTATTGCCGTGAACGTCAGATCAAGGGCAGTAATGCTAACACTAGACCTCCTCTGTAAATCTAAAATGGTAGCTTTTAAAGGCTTTTAAAGCTTTGCCTATGGATATTAAAAATGTTTGCAGTTTGTCGCCATTGCACGGGGCATGCACAGCTTTAAAGCATGTCATGTTTGGTATCTATTTACTCGGCATACCATTATCTTTTATATTTTACCAAATAATTGGCCAATATATTGTGCTTTTGTGCATTAAAAGTAAAAAAAGTGTATTTTTTTTTTTTAAATTTGCTTTTGAAAAAAAGCTGCATGAGTACTATGTGCCATAAAAAAATTGTAGTACCCACCATTTTATTCACTAGGGTGTCTGCTTTAAAAAAATATATAATGTTTGGGGGTTTAAATTAATTTCCTAGCAAAAAATACAGATTTTTTTCATGTGAACAAAAAGTGTCAGAAAAGACTTGGTCTTCAGGTGGTTAGAAGAGTGAGTGATGTGTGGCATAAACTTCTAATGCTGGGCATAAAATGCCCCCCACCCCCCAAAACGACCCCTTTTTGGAAAGTAGACACCCCAATTTGCTGAGAGGCATGTTGAATCAATAGAAGAATATATTTTTTTACCACAAGTTTTTGGAAAATGACAAAAAGTTTTTTTTTTTTTTTTTACACACAAAATTGTCACTTACATGATTTACTGCTCACACATGCCATGGGTATATGTGGAATTACTCCCCAAAATACATTCTGCTACTTCTCCCGAGTATGGGGGTACCACAGGTGAGAGACGTTTTGGCAGTCTAGCCAAGCACAGGACCCCAAAATCCAATAAGCACCTTCAGGCTTTTAAAGGGTTTATTTCCTCATTACACTTCCAGACTACCTATCACAGTTTCGGAGGCCCTGAAATGCCAGGATAGCAGCAAACCCCCCCAAATGACCTCTTTTTTGAAAGTAGACACCCCAAGGAATTTGATAAAAAGCACGGTAAGTATTTTGCAGATCTCATTTGTTGCCACAAGTTTTTGGAAAATGAAGAAAAAAACAAAAACATTTTTTCTATTTTTTTTTTACATTTCAAAACCTTGTGAGAAAAAAAATGAGATCTGCAAAATACTCAGCATGCCTCTTTTTAAATTCCTTGGGGTGTCTAATTTCCAGAAAGGGGTCATTTGGGGGGGTTTGGTGCTACCCTGGCAAGTCAGGGCCTTCGAAACTGTGATAGGTAGTGAGGAATTGTAATGAGGAAGTTACGCACCTTCAGGCTTTCAAAGTGGTCATTGGATTTCAGGCTCCTGTACCCATGGTATCTCCATACTCGGTAGAAGTAGCAGAATGTATTTTGGGGTGTAATTCCACATATACCCATGGCTTGTGCGAGAAATAAATCATTTAAATGACAACTTCGTGTAAAAAAAAAAAAAAAAATGTTTTGTCATTTTCCAGAAACTTGTGGAAAAAAAATAATCTTCCATGGACTCAATATGCCTCTCAGCAGATAGCTTAGGGTGTCTACTTTCCGAAAAGGGGTCATTTGAGGGTGTTTATACTATCCTGGTATCTTAGCACCTCAAGAAATGTGATAAGCAGTCAGAAAGTAAAAGCTGTGTAAATTCCATTATCTATTCCATATTTTGTAGACGCTATAACTTTCACACAAAGCAATAAATATACACTTATTGGGAATTTTTTAACCAAAAACATGTAGCAGAATACATTTTGGCCTAAATTTATGACGAAATTTTAGTTTTTTTTCTTCAAAACTTTTTCTGGTTATAGCGCCAAAAATAAAAAGTGCACAGGCGATCAAATACCACCAAAAGAAAGCTCTATTTGTGTGGAAAAAAAAAAAAGGACATAAATTTCATTTATGTACCGTATTGCATGACCGCGCAATTGTCCGTTAAACTAGTGCAGCGCTGTATAGCAAAAAAAATGGCGTAAATTGCAGTATCTATACCATAGTTTGTAGACGCTATACCTTTCACACAAAGCAATCAATATACACTTATTAGGCTTTTTTTTTTACAAAAATCATGTAGCAGAATACGTTTTGGCCTAAATTTATAACTAACTTTGAATTTACTATATATTTTTCATAGCTGAAAGTAAAAAATATAGTTTTTCTTCAAAATTTTTGGTCTTTTTTTGTTTATAGCGTGAAAAATAAAAAGCGCACAGGTGGTCAAATACCACCGAAAGAAATCTCTATTTGTGTGAACAAAATTTCGTTTGGATGCAGCATTGCATGACCCCGCAATTATCAGTTGAATTAGTACAGCGCCGAGTAGCAAAAAAGAGGCCTGGTCATTAAGGGGGGTAAATCCTCAGGAGGGCAAGTGGTTAAAGGATACCTAGGGACTGTCCACAATTTTAAAGGGTGCCTTGAATGAAAATAGGTTGAGAAACACTGCCCTATGTGATAGCAATAAAATAAGTTAAAAAAAAAAATACGTACATAAAAAAGTAGAAAAAAAAAAAATACAAAATACATTGTAGCCTCCCCATCCCCACATACGCAGACATTTCGGTTCAGTTTTCGGCCACATGCATTCTAAAAAATAACGCTGTTGAAAAATAAATGCAGTTTCAACTCCTTGAAATTTGTTCTTTTATTACATAAGATCAGACGTCCCGGTTTGACTTGAATGTCCCTTGTACATATTTCAACTTTTAAGCTTATTCAATTCAATTTGCATTAGATTTTTTTGTTCATTGTATTAGTACTTTTATTCAAGGTTTAAATTTTATATTTAGTTTTAGCTTTATTTTCCATTTACTGGTTCTTCAACATTTAGGTATTTGTAGCTCTTACCTCCAATGTTCTGAATAAGAATGGTGCTTGCCACAAGAATCTAAAACAGAAAAATTACAAATAATATGTCATGGAAAAAAAAAAAAAAAAAATCAGCAATTATGTCTGGCAGCAATAAAAGACTGACTGCAAATAAAATCCTGTGGTTGTTTGTTCTACAATGGAACCCAAATGATTGTACTTTCTCTAGGCACAAATTACATCTGGGTATTGAGGTTCTTACTGGAAAAATCATTATCATTTATGCTTTTCTCTAATTATATGGATGCTTCTGAATATGCGGCACAGCACAAACGCAAAACAGTTTTTCTAATGCAAATCAGTCTTGAAAAATCACTGGGTTGTTAATAGCCAGTCTGGGATTTGTGTGACTGATGTTGTATAACAGAATGTACTTCCAGGACATCCTGATCTCAGTATTGATGATATAACCTAATAGGAATAAAACACACTCATACCTTTCCAGGTGAGCCAAAGGCAAGGAGACCAAGATCCTCATAAGATGTAACAGCTGTGGACACAGACAGAGAGTTAAAAATTGTATCTTGTTTAGATTTTAAGTCCTCATGCACACTGGACATTTTTACAGCTGCTGCTTTTGACATTTTTCTACAGCCAGTAAACTCCCCAGCATGTTATCCTATGTGTCCATGCACACAGACTGTAATAAACATTTTTTGGCTGGAAAAAACCCCAGAACTAGTGGGTTTCTAGAGGAGTTTTTTTAGCTGTAAAAAACTAAAAAAACGCAGTAAAATGGGGCAAACTGGCATTTTTGGACTGTTTTTGAGCAAAAAAAAAAACCCCCGCTAAACGCGAATGCAAAAAAACTCATGTTTTTAACGTGACTTTACACAGCTAACGTTACCAGTGTTATTAAAACGCCCCGTGTGCATGGAGCCTTAGTATTTATAGACTAACATTTCCAAAAGCAAAACTAAAAAAAACCTACTGCAATAAAAGAAGTTCTTATAGCAGTCACTATGCAGTATATCAGGAACAGTATACTGTAATTTACATTGCCAAACGAAATCGCCAAAGCCAAGTGTGCATTTAGAAAATGCCGAATTGTTTAAGTGACCCTGTATAACATAGAAGCAGTCGCACCATCAATCTTTGCTCTGTTGCAAAGCTATGGCTACAAATAGCATCTAACTTTTTTGGGTGCTGCGGTTCCACTCAACAGCAACTACATCACTACTATTTCCTGTAGAGGAGTTGAAGCTTGCCAGAACAACCACAATGGTCAATAGGGGACATGCTATCCAACAAGCCCAATGAGGAAACTGCAGGACAAACTAGCAAGGGTGCAGGTAGAAGTGCAAGGACATCTTTGTGCTGGACTTAAACCTTTCAGTCATTTCAGAGTTCTGCATGATCAGAGTTCCATCTCTACATAGAAAATGTCTTTCCTGATGAAATGAAAAATAGCTTTTGAAATGAAATTAAAGTGTTACTAAACCCACAATACTAAAATCAGTCTGTATATGCAGCAAAGAATCCTTGCTATACTCACTGTGGAATCTAAGAGGTTAATTATCTGCAGTGTGTAAAAAAAGGTTGGTTGACCCTGCTGTTTTCTGATCCTCCCTTTCTTTGACGGTCCTCAATCCATCTGCAGATGGTACAAAGCAGCAGTGGCAAGTCTTTACATGCTCTGTTATGTGTGTATTGCTAGAGAGAACACTTCCTCTATGATCAGAGCTATTCAGGTCACATGACATCATACATTATGTCATGTATACGAATCGTAAATGACAGCCCACTTCCTTACTCCTCCTCTATGCCCAGTAACTTAAAAAGTACAGTGGGTGGGATGTCACATCTTGATTGATGGAGGCACCACCTCCCAAAAATCATGTGGCCACAGGCTTTAGTGGGGGGTGCATGTGATCAGCACAGAGCCAGTGCTGTCCAGAGGGTCATGGGTCATGCAGCCTCTGCATGAAGGAAACTCAGAAGAATGAAAACTCTTCCTAGAAGTTGAACTAGCACTCGGCCGGACATAGAAACCAGTCACGTAACAGCTGTAAGTAGCTACTGAGAAAAGGGAACACTGCGTATAGAAAAATAACTTTGTTTTTTTGAAGCTGAACTAGACTGAACTAGACTGACTATTTTCAGCCAGACTAACTAATTATGTAACATGTAAAGATTATCAGAAATATTAGTGATTGCGTTTATATATACTTTAAAGGAGAAGTTCACCTTTTGTAACATGTTACACCCATATTCAGGGTGTAACATGTTAAAGATGCACCAGCCTCTGCACCCCCTTCAGATCCCTCATTTTGACAGTGAGTGGGGGATCTTCAATCTATATGAAAAAAAAAAAAAAATAAAAACCCACAGCTATGCATGGCTCTGCCCACCCAGCCGCGGCATTCATTCACAGTGCTCTGTGAATACAAAAAAATACAAGTACTGACAGACTTTGCAACGGTCAGCGTGTAGTTCTCAATGAACTATCAGGACGCTGCTGAGCACTCTAGGTAGTTCATTGAGTTTCCGATCAGAGTGCAACTGCCTGCCTGTATCTGAGGTAGAGGCAGACAGCTACACAGACAGTCTGCAGGACCATAGCATTACACCCACAATCTGCTGAAAAAAAAAAAAAAATAATAATAAAAGCATATTTTTTCACTTACAAACAAAATGTGCATTTATTATTTTTTTTTTGTACTTATCCTTTAAAGCATGACTGAATGACAGGTGGAATTTGAGCAAAGCTCTTGGTACATGAATGATCAGAGTGAAATTTTTAGAGTAAAGCACTATACATGCAATTATTAAATACCTTATACATGTGTGCTTACATTGTAAAACTTACCAGTCTGAATGCATAAACGGAGCAACAAGTGAATGGAGTATGCAGCCAGCAATGCCACGATCAACAGCAGGATACTAGAAAAGAATAAACAAGACACTTTAACTAGCCATTTTAAAACAAGAGATGGGGAGAGCCCATGTAGCAGTTTAATTGAAGCGGTGGAGTGGTATCAAGCTCACTTTTTGTTAGACAAGCAGGTTTTGGAAGTAGATTGTGGTGCAGTATTACATCCAACACTGCCACAGCATGTAAAATTGAATGCAATGATTATAATATGTAGTCGTTAATTCCTACTTGCCCATTAGACTTTTCTTGGCTAAGGATATAGATCCTGGAAGTAAAGAGAGTAGGGAAAGTTGCAGAGATCTTTGACGTGAGATGAGGTTAGGTCAGCGGTTCTCAACCTGGGGGTCGCGACCCCTTTAGGGGTCGAACGACGCTTCCACAGGGGTCGCCTAAGACCATCGGAAAACACATATTTCCGATGGTCTTAGGAACCGAGACACCGCTCCTCGCCGCCGCCGCCGCCACCGCCGTCTCCAGGTGTGGGCGGGATGACATGCCGCCCCTGTCATCTGGACACACCTCGAGATCAATCCTCGCCTGTGATTGGCCGCCGGCACTGTAGCTCAGGCACACAGGCGGCCAATCACCGGCAAGGAGGTGGAGCTTGGAGAGGAGGGGCCGAGCGGCACCGCGAAGATCGAGCGAGTGAAGAGGAGGAGAGCGGCCGGAGAAGGAAGACAGCTGACAGGTAAGTGTCGGTACCATGGGAGAGGGAGGGAGCGAGCGAGCCCAGGCTGGAGCAGGGGTCTGCAAGGTAAGTATCACTGGTGTCAGTGGGAATAGTGCCCCATCATTGGTGTCACTAATACCAATGATGGGGCACTATTCCTCCCACTGACACCAATGATGGGGCACTATTCCTCCCACTGACACCAATGATGGGGCACTATTCCTCCCACTGACACCAATGATGGGGCACTATTCCTCCCACTGACACCAATGATGGGGCACTATCCCTCCCACTGACACCAACGATGAGACACTATTCCTCCCACTGACACCAACGATGGGGCACTATTCCTCCCCCCACTGACACCAACAATGAGGCACGATTCCTCCCCCAAATGACACCAACGATGGGGCACTATTCCTCCCCCCACTGACACCAACAATGAGGCACTATTCCTCCCCCACTGACACCAAGGATGGGGCACGATTCCTCCCCCCACTGACACCAACGATGGGGCACAATTCCTCCCCCCACTGACACCAACGATGGGGCACAATTCCTCCCCCCACTGACACCAACGATGGGGCACAATTCCTCCCCCCACTGACACCAACGATGGGGCACAATTCCTCCCCCCACTGACACCAAGGATGGGGCACAATTCCTCCCCCCACTGACACCAAGGATGGGGCACTATTCCTCCCCCCACTGACACCAAGGATGGGGCACTATTCCTCCCCCCACTGACACCAATGATGGGGCACTATTCCTCCCCCCACTGACACCAATGATGGGGCACTATTCCTCCCCCCACTGACACCAATGATGGGGCACTATTCCCCCCACTGACACCTATGATGGGGCACTATTCCTCCCCCCACTGACACCAAGGATGGGGCACTATTCCTCCCCCCACTGATACCAATGATGGGGCACTCTTCCCCCCACTGACACCTATGATGGGGCACTATTCCCCCCACTGACACCTATGATGGGGCACTATTCCTCCTCCCACTGATACCAATGACGGGGCACTATTCCTCCCACTGACACCAATGACGGGGCACTATTCCTCCCACTGACACCAATGACGGGGCACTATTCCTCCCACTGACACCAATGACGGGGCACTATTCCTACCACTGACACCTATGACGGGGCACTATTCCCCCCACTGACACCTATGACGGGGCACTATTCCTCCCCCCACTGACACCTATGACGGGGCACTATTCCTCCCCCCACTGACACCAATGACGGGGCACTATTCCTCCCCCCCCACTGACACCAATGACGGGGCACTATTCCTCCTCCCACTGACACCTATGACGGGGCACTATTCCTCCTCCCACTGACACCTATGACGGGGCACTATTCCTCCTCCCACTGATACCAATGATGGGACACTATTCCTCCCACTGATACCAATGACGGGGCACTATTCCTCCCACTGACACCAATGACGGGGCACTATTCCTCCCACTGACACCAATGACGGGGCACTATTCCTCCCACTGACACCAATGAAGGGGGCACTATTCCTCCCACTGACACCAATGACGGGGCACTATTCCTCCCACTGATACCAATGACGGGGCACTAGTCCTCCCACTGACACCAATGAAGGGGGCACTATTCCTCCCACTGACACCAATGACGGGGCACTATTCCTCCCACTGACACCAATGAAGGGGGCACTATTCCTCCCACTGACACCAATGAAGGGGGCACTATTCCTCCCACTGCCACCGATGATGGGGCACTATTCCTCCCACTGACACCAATGATGGGGCACTATTCCTCCCACTGACACCAATGATGGGGCACTATTCCTCCCACTGACACCAATGATGGGGCACTATTCCTCCCACTGACACCAATGATGGGGCACTATTCCTCCCACTGACACCAATGATGGGGCACTATTCCTCCCACTGACACCAATGACGTGGCACTATTCCTCCCACTGACACCAATGACGTGGCACTATTCCTCCCACTGACACCAATGAAGGGGGCACTATTCCTCCCACTGACACCAATGAAGGGGGCACTATTCCTCCCACTGCCACCGATGATGGGGCACTATTCCTCCCACTGCCACCAATGATGGGGCACTATTCCTCCCACTGACACCAATGATGGGGCACTATTCCTCCCACTGACACCAATGATGGGGCACTATTCCTCCCACTGACACCAATGATGGGGCACTATTCCTCCCACTGACACCAATGATGGGGCACTATTCCTCCCACTGACACCAATGATGGGGCACTATTCCTCCCACTGACACCAATGATGGGGCACTATTCCTCCCACTGACACCAATGACGTGGCACTATTCCTCCCACTGACACCAATGACGTGGCACTATTCCTCCTACTGCAAAATTACAGTTATGAAGTAGCAACGAAAATAATTTTATGGTTGGGGGTCACCACAACATGAGGAACTGTATTAAGGGGTCGCGGCGTTAGAAAGGTTGAGAACCACTGGGTTAGGTGATCATATGTGTCAGACCAGAAGACCATATACAGTGGGGCAAAAAAGTATTTAGTCAGCTACCAATTGTGCAAGTTCTCCCACTTAAAAAGATGAGAGAGGCCTGTAATTGGCATCATAGGTAGACCTCAACTATGAGAGACAAAATGAGAAAAAAAATCCAGACAATCACATTGGCTGATTTGGAAATAATTTATTTGCAAATTATGGTGAAAAATAAGTATTTGGTCACAAACAAACAAGCAAGATGTCTGGCTCTCACAGACCAGTACCTTCTTCTTTAAGAGGCTCCTCTGTCCTGCACTCATTACCTGTACCAATGGCACCTGTTTGAACTTGTTATCAGTATAAAAGACACCTGTCCACAACCTCAAACAGTCACACTCCAAACTCCACTATGGTGATGACCAAAGAGCTGTTGAAGGACACCAGAAACAAAATTGTAGACCTGCACCAGGCTGGGAAGACTGAATATGCAATAGGCAAGCAGCTTGGTGTGAACAAATCAACTGTGGGAGCAATAATTAGAAAATGGAAGACATACAAGACCACTGATAATCTCCCTCGATCTGGGGCTCCACGCAAGATCTCACCCCGTGGGGTCAAAATGATCACAAGAATGGTGAGCAAAAATCCCAGGACCACATGGGGGGACCTAGTGAATGACCTGAATAGAGCTGGGACAAACGTAACAAAGGCTTCCATCAGTAACACACTACGCCGCCAGGGACTCAGATCCTGCAGTGCCAGACGTATCCCCCTGCTTAAGCCAGTACATGTCTGGGCCCGTCTGAAGTTTGCTAGAGAGCATTTGGATGATCCAGAAGAGGATTGGGAGAATGTCATATGGTCAGATGAAACCAAAATAGAACTGTTTGGTAGAAACACAACTCGTTGTGTTTGGAAAAGAGAGAATGCTGAGTTGCATCCAAAGAACACCATACCTACTGTGAAGCATGGGGGTGGCAACATCATGCTTTGGGGCTGTTTCTCCGCAAAGGGACCAGGATGACTGATCCATGTACAGGACAGAATGAATGGGGCCATGTATCGTGAGATTTTGAGTGCAAACCTCCTTCCATCAGCAAGGGCATTGAAGATGAAACGTGGCTGGGTCTTCCAACATGACAATGATCCCAAACATACCGCCCGGGCAACGAAGGAGTGGCTTCGTAAGAAGCATTTCAAGGTCCTGGAGTGGCCTAGCCAGTCTCCAGATCTCAACCCCATAGAAAACCTTTGCAGGGAGTTGAAAGTCCGTGTTGCCCAGCACCAGCCCCAAAACATCACTGCTCTAGAGGAGATCTGCATGAAGGAATGGGCCAACATACCAGCAACAGTGTGTGGCAACCTTGTGAAGACTTACAGGAAATGATTGACCTCTGTAATTGCCAACAAAGGATATATAACAAAGTATTGAGATGAACTTTTGATATTGACCAAATACTTATTTTCCACCATAATTTGCAAATAAATTCTTTCCAAATCAGCCAATGTGATTGTCTGGATTTTTTTTTCTCATTTTGTCTCTCATAGTTGAGGTCTACCTACGATGCCAATTACAGGCCTCTCTCATCTTTTTAAGTGGGAGAACTTGCACAATTGGTGGCTGACAAAATACTTTTTTGCCCCATTGTATGGAGCTTTGTGCTCCTGTGAATTGACATCTCCAACCAGTTTACAGGAACATGAGGGGGAGAAAAGAGGAATGCAGCTCGGGAGGACAGCAATACCATCTGGTAAGTATTGAAGGTTCTTTCTTGTATACATCTAGCCAAGTAGAGCTTAGGTGAAATTCTCAGTGGGTGGCTCTGCTGGCCCCCCTCCCGCCAGA